AATATGATCTACATAAAATTAAATCTAATGGCTTTGTAAATCATTTTTCTAGGGCAAATTTTCAACGCTGACAACATCTATTTATTAAATTAGTAATAAATATAAAATTTTGATGTATATGATACAAACTTGAAAATTGGATTCTGATTGGCTAATTTGGTTGGATTCAATATTTATAATCTAAAAATGGGTTTTCTTGTTCTTCCTCTTCCTTTCCTTTCCTTCCCTTCTTCCTTTCTCTTTCTCTTTTTTTTGCCTTTCCTATTTTCCTTTTTTTTCCTTTCCTTTCCTTTTCTGTCCTGTCCTTCTTTGCTTTCTCCTTCCTTTCGCAAACACAGTCTTTCGCAAGCACCTTCTGTTTTTGTGTCACCTTTCTTTTAGAAACCTTTAACTTTATTTCCCATGTATAAAAACTTTTCTTTCACAGAAGTTTATTGAAAAACAGCAGTAAACGGTCTACTGGTTCTGGAAGAGGTTCCGGTTATGTGCCTTCCTTTACGGTCTCTGAGTTTCACCAAATAGAAACTGGCTAAACTACCAGATAGAAACTGGTTACCAAACTTCCAGAAGAGATAACTGGGGACCAAACGCCCCAGTGGAGAGAACTGGGAATAACAAACCGCTAAGAAGGAAAACTTGTGACATGAAAGAGAAAGAGGGAATAAAAAAAATAAAAATAAAAATATAAAAAGTTAGATAGAAAACCAAAGGCTCTTCTCTCCATGCATCGTTGGAAGTGTGTTTAGATAGAACTGGAAACTTTGCTTGGTGTAGAGAGCTTCATTTTCTTTGGGTTGCTGACGTCCTCGTCGTATAACCTAGGTACTAGTTTAATAGTAACGAGCAAGTACTATCATATTTTCAATCAGGTAGTTTTTCGGTTTCAGTTTAGGTTTTTGGATTTTGTAAGCTCTTATATCCTTGTAGTTGTAATTTGTTTTTTTATTCAAGAAATAATAAATCGTTTGCCATTTGTAACATTTTTATTTGCGCTTAAAATCTAAGAATATTTAAAATTAAAAGTTATACGTATGCAATAAATTGCAGAAATATTATTTTCTTTCTGTCAATTGATGAAGAATAAAATTGCCCCCTATTTTAAATAAAAAAGTTTTAAATCTGCCGTTTATAAAGGAACAAAATAAACGATCTCTCGAAAAATGCAAATGAGAAAAAATCTTTAAAATCTTTAGAATCTACAGTATTGAAGTTCAACAAACTTATTCATTTTTCCTTAATTTTAAGAAAAAAATCAATCATATAAGGATTAATAATGTACCTCTACGAAGACAATTTGTTGCATTCTCTAATGTATATATTCGTTTCCCGCAAACCTAACGATAAATTAAAAGGATGAACAATTCGAGATAATTAGGCCAAAAGCTCGATTAGAAAAGCTTAAGAACGATAGATAAAAACGCTTGAAAAATACTTCATTCTCAGTTAAGGTTTCTGTCATTCAGATTTTGAGATAAAACTTTGAAATCGGTTTGATGACGTTAAAAAAATGTTTCAAAAAATTTCATGAACACGTCAATCTCACAAAACCTTTGTCGGCGATCAAAGTTTTATTTTTGATTCGAGTATTTCAAAATTCCGGGGGAATCAAATTTATTTTCACATGCCAAATATCGATACGATTTTATAAAGAGTAAGTAATATTATAACTTTTCATTTTAATCACATTCTTCGCTTTACTATTTAAAAATTCTCACCATCTTTTATTGGCAAGAAAAGTATTCATAAATTTTGATTTGATAACGTGATCTTCCATAGTATTTACAGATTGAATCTACGATATACAGTAAGTAAAGATATGGAAGAAGTTATAAAAGATTCAATAAAATGTTTTCCAAAGAAAAGACAACAAAATGGGAAAGAAGAAACAAATCAAAGTCAAGATGATAACGAGCAAAGAAGTCACGGAGGTAAAGTCTTAACGAATTCATTTAATTTTATAATCTGAGATTAAATATTTAAGAACTTTATAGACAAAAAGATCCAGTTCCAACACATTTATTAGCACGAACGCAAGCAGAAAATCAATTTCGTGATTATTATATGAATCGAATTACTAAAGCTTTTGGTGAAGATTTAGATAAATTGAGAAAGAAGGTAAGAAAATTTAATATGTATATGATTATAACGCGCAAATAATTTAAACTATCATTTTAATTATATAGGAAGTAGATCTTGATTCCAATAAATTAGAGATATTAATTAATACGTTAGAATCAGGAATAAGTAATTTTCGGATGTAATGTTAGGTGTTAAATTTGCTTAGCCATAATAGTGAAATCTTTGCTTAGAGTAATTAATAAAGTTTTTGACTGTACCTTACCTATATATGAGTTTAAGAAACCAAGTTAGTTGACAAATTTGAGACAAATGAGAATGCTAGCCGTGAAAAAAAAAAAAAAAATAATCATATACGATTCACTAAATATTCTTGAAGATTTCAACCTTTCACAGGATCAGCTAATGCATTGTGTTCTCTCGGTCCAAATGCATCAGGTCGTCAAATAATCCATTTTTACTTACTCAGAAATATTTGGAAGGCGCACATTTTCGTCCATAACCTCGACTTAATCTCGGCACTCTTTCATATCCAACAAATTATTATTTCGTTTCAGATAAATATGCTATGAAATATTATATTAGTTTAAACAGTTCTGGAATATCTCGCACCCGTCCGCCGCAGGACCTAACCTATGTTCGCACGAACAGGCTTAGGACAAGGTGCAATGTAGTTGCCCGTCGCAGGACTTAACCCATCGCCGCAGGAAAATGGGCTTAGGACAAACTACTAAAACTCGCACGAGTGTTCGTTTTCGAAAAAATATACTTATCTTGTCAACCTAATCAAACTTAATAACTATAATGAGGCTCCATCCTTTTATACTTAAAATATTAAAAAAACATTTGTGTCATCTTTGACGCGTTATTAGGGATGTATTTTTAGTTGACCAATCAAAAAAAAGGTATATTTAGATTTGTATAGTGATACAAAAAAATATATAATTAACCGTTAATTTCCCATCCCTACGCGTTATTCTCATTTCTCGCGGTTGTGATCTTTTCGCTTTGAATAAAATAAAAATCATAACTATAGTAATACAATCGAGAGGTTTTATGAAAGGCTACATAGATCCTTATTTTTATACTACTCCTTCCGAACAATGGAGCCTTAACACTTTTATTACAACATATAATGGACAGAGTTTAGTTAAAAAGAAGATTTTATAAGGAATGCTTACTAAATATATGTAAATCATCTGACTTTAGCTATAAGCAGAAGGAAATGGCGGAAAAATTGATTGAAACTTATAGAGCGGATAAGAAAGAATGTGCATACTTGATTGATATTCCCGAAGGTAAATCGGCCAAAACGGCCATTCTTCGGAACAGGGTTAGTACCTTGCATTATTTAAACGAATTCTTTTCATTTGATATTATAGCTAAAATTATGTATAGTTTGAACTGTTAATCGAATCCGCAAAATCTGCGAACGCGACTCTTAATGCAACATTCACCGAAGCCGATGCATCTGTAAGTGGATACCAAACCTCAGATCAACAAGTGATGAGGTCAACGAACTATGAGACGAATCCTTTCAATATAGAATTTTCACAGAAACGTAAATGCGCTTTTGATACCGAAGAGGAGGAAGAATCCGAGGAAGAGTATAACGCAGACAAAACAATCATCGGCGGGAGAAATACCACTTGGGTGGTAGATGGAATTAACATTCGTCAAAGGCTTACAAAGTATCAGGAGGAAAAAAATCTTACAAAATCCAAACCAGAATATTACGATGTGATCTTTTTTAATAATAAAGACCAAGACGGTTTTTTAGGTACATTGCCGGAAAGCACTATTATAAAGATGAATAAGGAAATAATGGAAGAAATAAAAGGTGCAGAAGAAGATGATATTAGATCATTATTATTGATCGCGATATCCACAAAACGAAAGAAAATCTTAAACAACAAAGAGAACATAATGACTCTTTTGAAAAAAAGTTCACGCTATATTTTATTAATCACATGTAAGTGTCTATATTTTTGCTTGAGAATCGGTAATCAGGTGACTAACTCATTGTTTATATAGGATCGAACTCATGGATAAAAATAATGCACTTCTGGAAGATTTATCCGAGGGGACATTCATTACAATGGTTTGGCACCAATATTGAACAAAATTTTCATTAATAATAAGAAAGATTGGCACGTTAAGTACGGGGAGACTTGTCTTAGGGCAAGTGCGGATGATCAAAATTCTCAAAAAGGGGGTGGTCATCGCCGATCCCCTATCGATACTATTGTTATAGTTAAAGAAGAGAACGAAGGAATTTTCGGTCACAGAGATCAGTGGACCCCCAGCTCGGAAAGATTGATCACATTTCACGGGGGATCGAATGAAAATAATCAAGATGCTGAAGACGCTCATGAATAGATATGCAATGATTTGTCCAAACTCGGACATCAGAATCGTGAAATTATATGGAATGCAATTTTATTGTAGGTCTTAATAAATGGTTTGTGTTACATCACATATTATTAACTCTAGTTTACAGTATATCAGCTTATCGTCTATGAGTTCCGACTTGAATACTCCGAAATTTACACTGTACGTGAGGTATTAAAATTTCCTCTACCACGAACATGGAAAGACATGAAGAAAGCTCATGAAACTGTAATTGGTTTCTTGAATTATGAGGTTTGTATGGATTGCAGAAAAAATAGAGTTTAAATATAAACCAATAATTTATGAATTATTAGCAATTATTATTCAGGAGTTCACAAAAAATAAAAGATTTTCTATGGATTGAAGGCGAAAATGATGAAACTTCTCAGTCTATGACAACTAGAATGGTTTATTCCCCTAATGGTCCTAAGGGCACTAAATTTACCAAGAAAGCGCGAGATATTTGATATATAGTATAATTTATATTTTTCAAGTGATGTGAAATACTGTATGTTTTATGTAGCATGTTAAAAAATATACGCAATCTTCCATTTAATCTGTAACAAAAAATTGATGTAATAATAATAAATTCACGGGAATTATTCAATATTATGTTGCAGTAAATGTAAAGGCTCCTTGGAAAGTCTGCAAGCTTTACAACCGGCGCAAAACCTAAACCAATGCTTCGAAGCTCTTCTTTGGTTGTCTTGAGAAACTTACCAACGATTTCGCATGCTAGATGTGCGACGTTTTGGAGCGCAATTGGACAATTTATGTTCATTAGATATCATATTTGTCCAATGCACTCCATAAACCACTTTCATTTATAATTATCCCATGGGCGATTTTTTTCCTCACATTTTTTTGAAGTTACTTAGTAGCTCAACGGGATCCGCCTTATATCTACAGTGAAAAGCTGATTTCTTCAAAATTAAACCACTTCGGTCTGTAGATTTGAGGTTAACATGACACGACATCCTTTTGCCAACAATAATTGAGCTTAGAGTCCTTATGCCACGTCGGAATTGGCTCGTTTGGCATCCCTTCCTCTGGTATGTACCGCATTAATTTTTATTACAAAACGGTTCATATTTTCAGTTATGAAATTTATCATACGAGATTTTATCTCGGACGAATTTTATTGGACGTTATTTTGGTGTAACCCATCAAAAATTAATAAGTATTTTTTTTTTTTTTTCCGACACTTTCTCAGATTCAAGTTCAGTCTATCACGTGTACAGTAGGACAGAAAGTATCGCGAATACTTTCTTCTGCACACAAGAGTGAGTGTTTCACAAATTCAAACTAAATGCATAAACAATGTGACTCTGAGAATGTCTATTTTTTTTTTTTTTTTTTTTTTTTTTTTAAAAAAAAAATCAACTTACACGCGACCTATTATAACATAGAGCATGCAAAGTATATCTAGAGAAACCAATAAAAGCTCAGCTAAGAATCTTCAACATTTGGCAACGTCAACATTTTCTACACCACAAATACACAAGGCATTAAATATGGTTACTCCCAGTACAGGTTCAACGATAGATGAATCAGATACGGAGGAAGTTGTAGTGGAAGGAGTAGCCGCCGGAGTAGCCGCAATTCCTCTTAATATACCAGGATCTTCTTTTACGCCAACTTTACATCCAATTGTTTCAGGTGTAAAAAGCAGTGGTGACTTATCAGGGGCATCCTCGGATTCTGCAGATTCTGAAGCCAAAAAGTTGAGAAAAAAGTCATTACCTTATTATGAATCAGTGGGACGTTCATTTAGAATTCTTGCCGAAGAAAGAGGCTGGAGGAACGCCGACAATTCAATATTTCCAATATCTGTAACCAACCTTTGTAATTACGTTCGTGTTAAGAAAGATACGAATAACTCTAAAAGCGTAGATTGGTATATCGCGGCTCTCAAGAAGTATCAAGAACTCGTATTGAATGTCAAGGATTGGGATGAAGTCCGAAAACACCCGGAAGTTAAACGATTGATGAGTCAGATCAAAGTTGAAGGTAATTCAAAGATCGGAGGTGATTCGTCTCCATTGGCTCCTAGTGGGAAAGATAAGGGTAAAGGGAACGGAGAACGATCGATCATTGAGATCAATAAAAACAATTCAGAGTTCCCCCATTCGAATAAGGTTAATCCACAATTTGGGTCTTATAGCAATTTATCTTTGCAAACTTTTTCTTCGACTAATAAATTTCCTGGACCTGCTGAAACTGCACTTGCTTTACTCGGTCCTTTTATGGTCGATGATGATTCTATTGGCAGGAAGGATTCCATTTTGTCGAAAAAATTAGTTGGTGAGAAATGTATCGAATCGATCACAATAAGTCAAACTACTTTTTTTATTATTCATTGTCATGTCTTGTAGACGAAACACTTGATTTCGATACTCCGAATTACGAACCTTCCACTTCTAAATTTACCTCTCGTTTAGTTGATCCAATGGTTATATCCGCTTCAGATGACGATGAAGATTACGTTCCTCCTAAAAGTAATATTTCGTTAACTTTCTGAATTTTCATAAATTTTCAAATTATGTTAACTTGTATTAAATAATTAGAATCGTCACGTGGTTATATTCCCGATAGAAAAAGTATTTGATTATCTCCGTTACAAATACAATCATTTAATTTTAGTTTCAAAAGTATCTAATTTTTTTTCTCCTTTCCCCCCCCCCCCTTTTTTTCCTGTTTATATAGGACGTCGAAAACGACTTTTGGACTCCGAATCACATTCAGATGATGTGATAATTTTTTTTTTTTTGATAATTCTATTTATTATATCTTACTTTTTTTTCTTTATTTTCTTTACCTAATCATGTTTTTATTGTAGGATGAGCCCGAAAGTTTTAAATCTCGTTATGAAAATTCACTAAGCGTTCTCAAGTCGAAATACGTGGATTCCTGTAAAAATCATCCAAATGGTTGTTACCCAGTTAAAACTGGGAAACATTTCGTACTGAATGACAGATTATTTCGGCGTTGGGCTTCATTATGCGTATGTGCTGAAAAAAAAAATTTATTTATAAAGCGTAGAGATTTGATTTTTCCTTAGTGTGTGTATATATATGAATATATATTTTCCTCATATATATTGTTATATTTTAGGCTTCTGGTGATGATGTAAATGAAGATTCGTTGCCATATTCAGATGAATTGGAAAAAGATTTCTCTGAACTTAAAGCAAATCCCATTTAAAGATAAACTTAAACAGATAATTAAAGAAATTTATTTCTACTGCATAATGTATAACTACTGCCTTAACAAAGATTACATATGATATATTTTTTACTTTTTATTTTAATAATGTAAATTTACAAGATGTAAATAGTTATTTCTAATAATACCCCACTTTGCTTCTTCTACAAATAACTTAATAATAACATTTCATATTAAACGCCATACATATTTCTTGTATTCTCTCTTGCATGTCTCATGACTTCATCCAATTCGATTCCTTTAAGTTGAGCAATTTTTTCGGCGACCAAAGGAATCATTCCAGAATGACAAATAGTGACTTTATTAGATTTCTTATTTCTATTTAATTTGGAGGGAATCATGTAAGGAGCATCAGTTTCTAATAAAATTCTATTTAAAGGAACAATACATTTAATAATATTTTGAGTATTCTTAGCAGAACCAAAAGTAACAACGCCAGTTATACCGATATAAAGATTAGGAAAATGGTCCAATAATTTTTTTGCAAATTGAGGAGAATCGGTGAAACAATGAACATGAATTTTCCATTCTTTGGGTACATGATTGCTTAATATTTCCCAAGTATCTTCTTCGGCTTCACGAGTGTGTATAACTATAGGTTTTTCCAATTCTATAGCCTTGTCAATTTGCTTTATTAGAACACGTTTTTGAATATCTTTTGGGGAATTTTTATAATGATAATCCAGACCAATCTCTCCTAATGCAACACATTTCGGATGTTTAAGGATACTCATCATATTATTTTCAACATAATCATTATAATCTTTTGCATTATGCGGATGTACTCCAGCTGCTAAATACATGAATGATGTCTTTGCCATTACTTGCCAATCCATAAATGTATTTGGAAATATTTCATTTGAAGTGAAAGATAATGGATCACATAATACGTTTATACAACTTTCAAAATTTGATGGAAAATGATCCCGTTTTAATATTTCATAAGAGGTTACATTGAATACGTCTGGTAGTCTTTCTAAAACGTAATGTAAATGCGTGTGTGAGTCAACATATGGTACCTCTGAAATTGATAGTTGTTCTTTTGACGGAAGGGATGTATTAGATTTTTTTGGCCATTCGTTTGATCGTTGTACCTGTTGGGGTGAAGACGAAGAAGCATTATAATTACGGTTATAATTTTGATTGTTCGACATTTTAGGAAAAATTTCTCGTAATCGAAAATTTGATTTTTTGAGAAATAAACGTTTGGAAGTAATATTTAAAAAAATCATTTTATTTAAAAAAAAAAAAAATTATTTGTGGATCATCTTTGCTGCATTTGGAAATATTCGCGCATCAAATTTTTACCTTCCCTCGGAGTTATTAAAACACTTTCTTTGAATGAGAAAGGTTTAGGTAATTTTTACAAAGGAAAAAAAAATAAATTTATTTCTGATGCATTTTGAATTTCGGGTGGTAGTTTCAATTGAAAATCTCGGATTTTGATAACATTCTACCTAATTCTCCATATAAATAAATTTTATAGAAGACAAAAGCAATGTCCAAACCACAAGAACATCGTAGATTTTTTAATTGATTGAATTCTCGATCAGCCAATCACGTGATAGCCCGCCTATGAATGATAGGATGGCGCAGTAATCATTAATTTTGTACCAAAAAAGATACATATTCTTTGGAAGATTCCAAGCATTTATATTTATCCAAACCGGTAAGAATTTAACCGAAAAACCTCCATTTGGAAACTCCAACAAAATTTTTTTTTTGAGATAATGTTCTGAGCTTATTTTACTAAAAATGTCCATTATTCCGTTTCACTGGGGTCAAATTATAAGAACAGTAAGAACAGTCAACCCTATATAGTCACCTCCTATCTCCTTATCACATTTTGTTAGGTTCAAAAAATATTCCCAACTTCATTTTTTTTTTTTTTGGTGCCGTTAATTAAAAAAAATCCTTTTCTTTAGTCGAAATTAAAATAATCCCTTTTTATAAAAGAAAGAAAATAAAAAAACTTTAGCTAATTAATGGTAAGATAACGTTGTGTATTAAAAGTACGTTATACCAAGTTAATACGGACATATATAAAATGGAAATATCTATGTGATGCACAATATCATATGGTCGAATATAGGTTATACCTAAAATAGAAACCGTTAAGAAAACAAGGAAGTAGAACACATTAAAAATATTATCAAGAGAATTCTATTTAAAAGCGCACAATTCCTTCCTACTACCCTCCTTCTTAACTTTCTTTCCCCTTACAACAAAAAAAAAAGTTTTTTGGTAATTTTACATTTTTTTAAAAAAAAACAAAAATAAATAAATATTATTATTTTTTTTTTGAAAATGAATCAGACACTTTTATATAATAATGACTTTGAACAAGATGAAGGACAGGAAAGTTTAGCTTCCGAAATCATTGACAACGGGCCTAATGATTGCGAACAAAATGGACTTGATACCTTTATTCCTGATTCCATTAATAACGGTGCTAATGATCATTCCAATAGGTTTAAACAAAACAATGACCTAACTCAAATGGAGCAATCGTCCTTAAATACACGAGCCCATTATAATAATAGTCCCTGTAATTGTACATACGCTTCATCCGCTTGCAATAGACCGTTAAATACACAAGCCACGACCAGAAATTATGATCCCATTCCGAATAACAAAGAACAGCAACGGATGCCCCTTGTAGATAATGTAAATAGTGCTTCAACTTCACAATATTTCAAAAACGACTCTCCTGCGGCACGATATATCAATAATAACGTTAATGAAGATGGTCCTTTCGTCATGCAACACTCTCCCCCGCACTATACCCATAATCATGGTAATGCATATACAATTCAAGATAATCTTGAACATCGGTCTAATGAAGGTCATGTTTCTACGACGCAATATTCTCCATCCAACATCAATTGTCATGAACTCTTTAGACTCGAAATTTCCGGGATGGAAATTATTTTCAGACAGAAACCTTTGACGAATTTAAATCAATCTAGTTTAGAAATGCGAAATGACAAACTACAAAGACGACAACAGAATGAACAATCCAACGGAAGGATTCAAAATAGGATGCATCCTTATCATCCGCCTTTTGAACAAAATCGTAGACCTATCATGGTCAATAACAGAAACCATGCCGTTAATAATTCTTCTCCTCAACAACAATATCTCTCTCATCCTTGCCCGCATTCTTGTTTTTCCACGGTAAATCGACAGCAGAATTATATCTCTAGCGTTGACGGAACTACTTCTAACGGAAATTTTGTAAATCCTACTAATTTACGTAACGTTAATAATCAATTTACAAACGATGATTCGCAGCTTCAATTCCAACGGTTTTGAAATAAACTACACTAAGGACTTTAGAACATTACTGGTTTATATGCTAATTATATTCATTAATTAATTTCAAAAATTTAAAAAGTTAGGACACTAAATTTTCGAATTCATTCATCATATGGCATTTGGCAAATTGGCAATCTGAATTTATTTTTTCACAATTCTCAATTATATGACATTTTAAGTTTATATTTTTTACGACTTAGGCAATTATTTCTCGAATATGTAACTATGAATTGACTCTAAACGATTATCTCTCGAATATCTAACATTTGGCAAATTTAATTTATTACGTACGTTTTGAACATCGATAATTTACCATTCGTCTTTCTCGTTTCGATTATCTCTTAGAATGGAAATAAAAGCTAAAAAATTTTATATTTTTATGGAACGTATAGATTTTTTTTTTTAAATGAATTTTTTTTATTTTAAACTTTATCGTTATAGTTTAAAAAAAAAATTATTTTCTCTAATTTAATATAATATGTACAGTACATCTTTTAATTTAAATATAAGATTTTCGGCGCGCAAAAATTTTTTTTCTTTTTTTTTTTTTTTACAGAAATACAAGTGTCAATAAAATGATAATTTTATTTACCAAGACAATAAAAGATAAATCACTTTCAAAAATAAATAATTTTAACGAAGTGAATGTAAAATTGATATTAATACAACTAGTCAAATTATTTAACCCAGGATAATTTTTATTGACTGTAAAAAATATTATCGTTATGAATAATATGAAATTTTGATTTGGGTTGAATTGCGATGACGTAGTTACGACGGAAGGATAGGATTGATCTTGTTGAAGTTGATATTGTGTGTCCAGATAATTAAAATCCATGGATAAGTTGGATTTTGGTCTAATAATTATATCAAATCCAGGAATTTCGAATCTAAAGATTGCACATTGATTCATTTGTGGTTGAGATGAGCCAATAGACTGTGGTGGATTCTGATTTAAGATTCCTTGTTCACTAATATCATCATGGTTGTTGATATATTGTGATTCGTAAGAGGAAATCATTGGACAATACTGAGAAGCTGAACCAAAAGAATCAAGAATAATCATTTTCACAAGGTGTTTGATAAATGTTTTCGTTAGTCATAGAAAAGAAATCATCATTGTAATTGTAAGAATCAAGGTTATGATATTGGACTGGATTATTTAAAGGTTGGTTCATCTGATTTGCATCATCCGCTGCTTGTAAATGAATAAATCCATTATTAGTCCAGAGCGAAGCGAAAGACTTTCACATACTAGCTACATGTTACATGAGATGTCCTGTTGTCCGCCCGCTCACAGCTTGAGCTGATCGTGATTGGTCGTACGTTACATCCTGTCTAAATAAAGTAATTATCCTTGCACCATAAAACAAACAAAATAAATAAAAATAAAACAAAAAAAA